TCTCCTCTCCTCTCCTCTTTCTTCTTCCTTTTTTCCTCTTTCTTTCCTCCTTCTTCTTTCTTTTTCTTTTCTAAATTGTAATTAAATTCTAAATTCTAATTTCTAAATTTTCACGAAAGTAATGTCTTACTGTGCTAGTCACTTTGTAATCATAGATGAAAACACAGGATTAAATCCAGCTCCTGTGCAGTGCCTGGGGAGAGCTGTGGGCATGGGAATACAAGTTAAGGTAGGATGCTGGTCATGGAAATAACCACTGCAAAAAGGTATAAGATTGTACTCTTCCCATTAGCACTAGGTTAGCCCATGAGTCCAGGCTGAAGAGAGGCTATTTTCACTCTGATCTTCTGAAGTGATCCTTCTAGAGCAGTAGATGTGATGCGGTTGGTTGACTGTCAGGTTGCACTTCATTCAAAATACAATGTTAGGTTAGGGACTTCCCACCACCACTCCCTAACACCTGCTTCCACTCATTGACCCATGTTTAGATACTTACTGGGAGATGAAAGACCTATTTTAAAATCCTTGTCACATTACATTTAAAGTAGGGTTTTAAATGGAATCACATGTCCTAGTCACTGGGCTGACTGGTTATTCTCTTGTAAGTTGTGTCCTGATGAAAAGCTTAATAAAAATAATCAAATATTTATTGACACAAACATCCCAAGTGAATATCCTGAGCAACCAAACAGCAAAATCAAGCTCCCGTTTTTCTGAATCTTTGGCCCAATGAATAATAAATTATTTATACAAGCTGGAATAGCTTCAGCAGAATGGAGACTGAATCCAAATGGGTATGAACTGCCCAGAGATAAAATGAGCCTGGAAATTAGAAGACAGATTCAAGCCATCAAAGGAATGAGACTCTAAAATAACCTTTCAATAAATGGGATAATGGGATCAAGCAATCTAAGCAGCTTTCAGCTGAAGGTTGGTCATTTTATGAAATAGCACATATGACGTGACTGTGAGCATTAGAGGGTATTGGACTCAGTGACCCAGCATGTCCTGTGCACATTGTTATGGATTTGGTGCTGCATGTGAAACAACCTGGCCCATGTCAGGTGGGAGATGCTCCCCAGAGCCTGTGTGTGAGAGGGTGCTCCTGGCACCTCGGCTGCAGTGGGACACTGGAAGGAATGTTGCACAAGACCACAAGCAGTAAGTGGAGTGAGATGTGTGGATTCAGACTGTCAAAACCCAAAAGCCGGAGAGGCTCTGAGCTGCAGGGTTTAGGTGGCAGCTGTGTGGGGGCTGTGGCAATCTGTTCCCCAGCGTACAACTGATGTATAGGCAGTATATAAACACAGTTTATGTATTTAAGTGTAACAGCACTTTTAAGTGCTGAGTGGGAAGGAGGGGGAGCTGTTTCTACAAGGGGCTCCTTTCAGAACAGATGTTTTGGCCTGGTAAGGATGTTATCAGATCCAGCTGGAAGGGAACCAAGTCATTGCTTGATGAGGACCTGATTTCTCTGATATCTGAAAGAGCTCAGTTGGAGCACGGGGTAACAGGCTGCTGCCTGCGGTAGGTTGGGGAGCTACATGTTGCCTGTAGTCCAGTACTGGACTAAGGGAAAGAGGAGAGAAAACTTTCAAAGAATGGAAAGCCCTGACAATGAATCTGAGTGGACTTCTACTGAGCTGTTATATCTTGGCATCTGCTAGTGATTAGTGGTGCAATCAGTAGTGGTACTTGGGACTCTTGTCCCTACCTGCAGGATGCTCTTTATAACTCTGACACGATGGAATAGTCACCATAGCCTTGGGACCAGGTGAGTTTCATGCAGTTGTGGTCCGTGTTGTTATACCAAGGGTTCCCTGCAACATATAAACTGCAAGATTTGGACTATCGTTGCTCATTAAAATAGCAACACTGACTAGAGGAGGCAGTTTGAATCTGTGTTCAGAGAATAACACACTTTCTCACTTTCACGTTCAAAACATAAATTTTTCTGCAGATTGCAAAATCTTCATGTGCAATGATGACATTTCTGTTGTTTAGAAGGTTATGAAATCTTGAACTTTCCTCAAAGTGCAGAATTGTCCATTTGTACAAATTCCAGTCATGTCAGCAGCGACGGGAAACCTAGTGGTATCCGGTACACGCTGAGTGTTGAGAATGAAATGAGGTGGTAGTTTCTTCCAGACAGAGGTCCACATTTCCTAACATAGTATTTGCAATCTTGAACAGGAAAAGACTGTGGGTTGAGTAGACAGAGCTTCCCAAGAAGGTCTCAGTCCTAGGGTTTAATGAACGGTAATCATGTCGCAACTTTTCTCTGGAAAAAGAAATCAACTTTCTGCGTCTCTTAACCTAATGAGATTTTTCTGCAGGCTACTAAAGGACACCATATTGTCCATCTGCGTATTGTTCTGCTTTACTGTGTTACTGTCAATGGAAATATCATCATACCCTCTTCTATGGGATTTACCACATCTTCCCTTTTGGGTGACATTCCCTCCAGCTTTCACCTAACAGGCAGAGGATATTACAAGTGTAGAAGACTTCCAGAATGAACAGGAGAGGTCTTTTCTGCAGCGATTCTGTGGTAGCTGTTAACGTACAGAGTGCATTGGTACACTGAAAAATATTAACATTCAAACTAGTGAGGTACTGAATATGTTGGTTTACCTGAGTCTCCAATGATCTTAAGTTTGCCTAGAGCATTATTAGATGAATAATTCTCATGATTTTTTGTGTGCTGCTAGGAAAAAAGTGATGCAATCTAAAAGTGAATTATAGCTGGATGGTAAGAGTAATGCAAAGATCTGATTCCATTTTCAGCGTGGTTCATTTAATGTACAATAGTTGTAGCAGGCTGAAAAGTCTGGCACTGGATACATTGCCATTAGCTAAAATATTTTACATCCCTAAAGTGCATTTTCTGAAGGTCCTTTGCATCTGCAGTGTATAGAATTTACTAAGCAATTCCAAAATTAATATGCAGATTTCTGAAATCTGAGTTTACAACAGTTGTGTTTTTTTTTTCTCTGCGCCACTTAAATAAGTTAATCATGAGGGCAAAGTTTAAGATACTACATCTCAGGATTTTCAGTTCAATTTTTTCCTCATTCTGCATGACCAAATATAACGTATGGAATAAATCACGCAACCTTTTAAACAAAGTTCTTTTTTATAACTGTTGATGAAGGCTAAAGGATTTTGACTGTTGTTTTTAACAACATCTGGAACCTCTGAAGCACTTAACATACATTAATTTGTATTTGACCCCGAGATGTTCTATCTAGTCCACCTCTGAGATCAAATAAAAGGTTTTATTGGAAGAAGGGAGGGAGGAAAAGGGTTGCTATTAGAGCATGATGTTTACTGTACATATTCTTAAATACAAAGAGATGTAATTAAATTATCTTGAAAGTCTGGTCGATTTAGCTAGTCTTATTCAGCCAATTGTGCCTTCAGTGAAGCATGCACGGCTCTCATTGAACTAAACAGAAATTGCATGTGTTTATTTGAGGACAAGATTTCACTCTCTCTTTTTCTGGATGCCTGTACAAGATAATAATCAAATTGGAGCTTGCTGCTAGCAGTTAAATGTTCTGGCTAACCAACCCATCATGTTAAAATCAAACGAGTCAAATCCTGGCCTCTCTGCCTGCAGTGAAGAGAAGGGCTTTGCAAGCAGCTGACCCAAGCATGGGAAATTCTGTCCCAGACCAAGCCCGGGTTGTTTTGCCACCCACTGCCTTGTGCCTTTTCCAGTTACACAGAACTTTTAATTCAGCTTCATGCTGTCTTTGTGGACTAAAAAAGTGCAGGTTATGTAAAAATTACAACAACAGTGACCACACACATACTTGCATTGGATTATTTTTTTTTTTAGAGTGGTTATAAACATCAAAGAAGAACATGACTTGGACAATTTTTTATCCTAGCTGGAAGCTTATAATCTTTAATTTAATGTAGTTTGCTTCCTAGGACTTCCACTAAGTCTGGATTTAAACAGTCTCACTGCAAAAAAAATGCAGTTTAATGGAAATTTGATTTTTTTGTAATTTCTGGAAGTACAACACTGAGATATCAGCTAAACCTCTTTTGAAGATAAGTATCTGCTTCCCTGAAAACTTCACTGCTTACACAAAACTGTTAGTCAGATCACCAAAGCCCTTCACATAGACACCACTAGCAAAATGTGCTTGAAAATTGAAAGGTTTTCTAGTTTTTTTAGCTATAGATTTCTCAGAGCTTGCCAGAAGCCAAACACACCTGGCATCACTATCCTTCTGTCTGCATTTTGCATGGTTTTAAAGAAAATCACACTGCTGGAATTTTTAAGGAGAAGGAACCACCATTTCAAACAGCCTAACTACAAAGAACCTCCCTGTCCTTCCCCTACTTTCCCTTAATTGTTTAAGCTTTATTCATATCATAATTCAAAAGGCTTTTGGAACAGTATATTTATTTTACCTTCCTGCAAACAGCGAAACATCACAAGAAGCAGTTTGCTCTTCAAAATGTGTACCATATGCCAAAGTGAAAAAAATCAACAAACCTGCCTCCCCTCCAACACTTCCCACCTCAGAATATACTCTCTTATGAGGGTAAAAACAATAAGGTAAGAGAGAAGAGTTGTACAAAATATTATTTACTATCTCTTGTAGTAATCTTTCGGTTTCAGACAACCGCCTCTCAGCTGAAAAGTCTCTTTTGCATTAGAAAGCATAGAATGATTTGCACTGATCAAACTGAGAGTGCATGAAACTATGATTTTATTCTAGCAGACTTACAGGTCTATAAGGAAGATTTATTAGTGGGTGAATAACTCCCAGACAGCTCTTATCACAGACAGGCATGCAGAACGCAGGAAGCCAAACTAAGCAGAATTCCCTTTACTGAATTTTCAATGATGCCCTTGATTATAGATAGCATTGTTTACTCTCTCTCTTCCCTCCAACTTCCCTCTTCCACTAGTCTCTAATTATATCCCTTTATGACCTGACCAATTAAAGCCTGCTCTTGAATTTGTATTAGAGCTGATGAAAAATTAAAGGTACAGATGTACTTTTTCCAAGGCCATGCTCACCTCAGCTGAGCTGGTTGCCTGTTAGAAGCCAGACAATACTAATGTTGCACTGACTATTTTTAGCCCTCTATTAAATAAATATGCTGGAATAACACCACCTGGCAAGCTGAGATGAATACATGTTACTTTTATAATAAGGGAGTCTACAATTTTATATTGCGAGGCTAAGCTTACTGGTCTGATCTGCAAATTGGTTTAACTTCTTGCTGCCACATTTAGGCTATTGATCATACAGGGGAGAACATTCATTTAACGAAGAATTACTAAATTGCAATAGACTAATAGGAGCTGACTATGTTTTTGTGTAACAAACGGCAATATGGGTAGTACTTGGATAAATAATGTGTCAGTTGAGAGGAAAATGGCATCTATTTACACATCATTTTAACACTGTTAGATGTTATAAAAAGAGACTCAATATACTTGTGGGTACCTCTTTACTCTGAAACGTTGCTTTTTCTGTCACAATATATGCTGTAGATTGTGGGATTTTTTATGAATTTGAAATTTAATTTCAGGCAACTGAGTTTCTGGCCATTCTTTACACAAGTCTGACTATACAGGGATGTAGTATTTTTCTAAGCAAGATAGTTGTTTCTAATTGTCTGTCAGAGAAGCATGAGTTTATAAGTTGTCATGTTTTGTTCACCAGACTTCCCTGTATTTTGTTTTCTTCCTCAAATATCTCATCAGCTATTTGTCCATTTCATAGCCTGGAAAAAAAAGCCCAACCTAAATAACAAACCAACAACGAACCCTCATTTTCTCCCTAGAGAGTGACAGAATTAAATAATGGTGATTTCTGTCATTTCATATCAGCTCCTGTGTCTTTTTCCTTGGAATTACTGAATCCATAAAGTAATCACTTTTCTGATAGAGTTGCACTTCCCAAACTCTCCACCTTAATGCACTGGCAAACATTTTTATATGAAAGTAAAAATGCAAACATAAAAGGTTTGACTGTGCAGTTTTCCTTTCCTTTTGGAGCATGACAGATTATATACAAAGTGGAAGTTGGTTAATTTACATTCTTGGGTTGATTTGTTAATTAAAGAAGCAATGTTGCGTTATGTAGGAATCTGCTGTATACTGAAACTGAACTCTGATAAATTAATGCACATTACAGATAAGTAAATCATCATAATACACTGTAAGATGCACATTCTTATCTCCTAGCCTTCACTTCTGAATTCCTTAGCACTGTATACAAGGGACAAATTTTAGTTATTGATTCCTGATGGCAATCCTGACTTCATATTCTTGTCTCACTGCACTGGGGACATTAACAGCCTATACACACAAAAGCAGCTCCCTCATGTAGACTGAAAAAAATATTAGGGCCAGGATCCACACCGACAGCCTGGGGATACAACTGTTACCCTGCAATGTCTTCTGCTTGCAAATAGCCCTGATTAACTCCTATCCTTCACACTTTCAAAGAGAACTATCTGCCCCAGATATATCTCCATCTCTAAGTACTTATGCCCTTCCTCATACTCCCTTTCATTCTTCTTTCTTTGCACATCCCTCTCCCTCACACTATCTCCTGTTCCCCTCATGTCCTCTGAACTCCTACAAGCTTCAGTCTTTTCTTTTAACAAATTGGGGAACTTGAAGGTGCCAGTCACTAGGACCATCACAGCAGGTAATTTTTCATCTCAGGATGCAACTAATAGTTCCCTGTATCCATCACCTATTTAAAAAAAATATTTAGGAATTTAATGTTTTTGAGCCAGCTGCTTATCTCAAATTCAGATTAAATTTATTACCTGGTGGAAAAATTATTGAAGAAGATGTGCTAGTGAACAGATGAGCAGTGTGACTCATAAACACCATTTCCTTAGGACATCAGATTGTAATGCTATGTCATTTTCTCAAATATCTACTCTCAGGGATTTAATGAAAGTTATTTACACTAAATGTTAAGAGCAGACAAGTTGGTCACATCAACTAAATGGTAACTAGTATTTACTATTCAGGTTGAAAGTTTATTGATTTAACAGTCAAACTTTTCTCCAGCAAAAACGGTTACAAATGGTTAATCAGATGGGACTCCTACACCTATTTAAAGCTGCAGTTGCCAAATGATTGCACTAAAATAGCACTTCTCTGAGCTGATGGGGATTACAGCATTAAGCAGAATCACTGTGAAATTCAAAATAGTTCAAAGGCAAAGAAGAAAAAATGAAAACAAAAATAAAGCTTACTTGCATTTACAGCTATTCCGTAGGCAACCATCTTGTGAAATGCGATGTTTTTGTCAAGCTGTCTCCTCAGTGCTCCTCCACAGCACTTGGTGAAAAAGCAGACCTTGTTTTATATCATTCCTATTACTGTTTACAGCTCACATTTTGGAGAGGAGAAGAGAGGAGTTCAATACGTTTAAAAAGGGAACGCTGCAGGAATTCAGTGGAAGTTTTGGGTTAGCCTTCACTTTGGGCCTCAGGTAACTGGTTTTGGCATAGTGGCGCTCCAGGGTTTCTTAAGCTATTCAGCCTATGAAGGGGCTCAAAACGGGCTTTGATAACACTCTGCTGTGATTTCTGAGGGGTTTTTCTGGGCTGGTGATTAACTGATTTGCTGGTATGAGGACACCGGCCTGGGCCACGGCTGCTTTGCAAGCTTAGGTTTAGCTGCCTGAGCACGGCTGAACCGCTGGCCAGGCCGGCTGGCAATGAAAACATTCTCCTGGCTTCCACAAAATGCGCACCCCAGGAGGGTGAAGCTGTCTAGACCTCAGGTGGCTGCTTGCTTGTGTCACTGAGCCGTCACCCCATGATTGGAAGCCTGGAGGATGGCATGCTCGTGGCCAGCTGGGTGCCTCTGTCTGCTGGGAGCCAGCCCGGGGCCATCAGCCAAAGCCAACACACTCTGCTGGAATCCAGACAGGCCCCTCACGGACCGAATTCGGTCTCTGAACGGTGCTCAGGGTGTCTGCATTGCTCGCTCGACCTGGCAGAGCGCCATGCCAAAGATCCTGGAATTTATCCACGCTGTTTCCTGGCTAATAAATCTTCTGAAACTCTGGAGCACCACGGGGTGCAATGCCAAGACACAGCACCTCCTTCAAGAATCACTGGAGTCATGGAGTCACTCACTCCATGCTGGAGCCCGTCAAGTTGCTCCGTACCCTGCTCCTCAAGAGCAAAATATTGTCCAGTAGAGCAAAATATTGATTATCTGTAAGAAGAACTCCAGCCCTCTGGGTTCTTACTGAGCATCTAAGTAGGTGTGCAAATATTTTGTGTTAATTCACAAACTGGTTCAGAAGCCTGACAAGACTTCTTTTTTCTTAAATGCTCAGCTCCTGGACTCAAACAATTTAAAAACAGTGTTGATTCCCAGCCTAAAGACTGCTGGAAATTTAACTGTAACTCCGAAGGAAAAAAAAATGGGAAAACTGAAATAAGAACCAGCTTACAGTAAAATAAATTAATGTTACGATTTTTAAATTCCTGTTTTTCTTGGAGTCATGAAGTGATCAGTGATTTTTTTACCCAAACATGTGGTATTGGAATTGCTCTGACTGTAATAATTCACTGCAAGTTGAAGCTATAACCAGTAGAGCTACAGCCTTAAATACTTCCTATGCGTGATGCTGAGGTTAATGTAAATGCCTCTGAGGAGATGACCACTCCATTACTAAAACACATGTTTACAGGAAAGGAAGACCTGACTGGTGGCCACTCAGACAGAAGGTTTCAAATGTGTTCCTTATTATCTTTAGGACAGTTTTATCTATCTGTACTGTTTCTCTCTCCAATTTTCACTTTGCAGCTACACAGGGTACACATGATGGATACATACTTTCTCCATCTGGCCAAGTTGCATTATTACGTCCGCTTTTTGTAGCTCCTCACTTTTCACTTCATGACACCACGCTATGCAGCGGCTGCCAAAATCAGTGTTGCATTCAGAGCGCTGCGTTAAACAAGCCATTTGTTTCTCTTCAGTCATGAATAATGACAATTGAAATGTTAATAGCTAGGCAATAGTGTGTAGACTTCTCTATCAAAAATTTAAATTCCTTGGAAAATGTTTGATATGGATAATACCTCTAAACTACGGAAATAAAAAAGGGAGGATAAAATGGCTATTTGAGAAATGGTACTTACAATGCTTGTTCCTCGTAAGAATGAAATAAGGTTTCTACTGACTGGTAACAGGATTAGCATGCAGTTAAAATTAAGGCATGTTGCAGAAGCTCTTGCCCAAGCCAGGGTTGACTGTAGATATAACAGTATAAAGAAATGAAATTACAAGCTTGGTATAGGAAGAGCAAAAGAAAGAAAATACTATATTAACATTAAACTTTTATATGGGAAAATTGCTGTTGAAGCATCAAAAATATTATTATGAAGGATATAAATAAAACCAGACTATGCATACATTCTTCTTTTGGATCTTCTTAACAATCAAACTCGTACTTACTCCCAGCATAATCCGTGTATAAATGTAAGCATCTTCGTCTTCATACCAGTGGAAGGTATCAATAAACAAATAGAAATTCAGTCCCAGCCACACCATCTACAAAGCAGACAGGCTACAGATTAGTGATGCTTACAGTATTTTTTAATACATATAAAACTGGTTATGGTTATTGTTTTAAAAGTGTCTGAGAGATACTTCAAAATCAGTGTGCAATGCAGTTCTTGATCACAGATGATAGAAATCACAAATGCCTGCTGGAATGAGGCTATCTTTTAGCAAATGCAGGATTACAGTCCTATCCCCACATCTCCAGCAGAGGATATAGATGACATTTACTGTGTGATGGTAAACTTGATCTTAAACACAGGGCTAATCCTGGTCTCTAAAAAGGCAGTAAAATCTAAAATTAAAGAATTCCAGTAATGGAGGGAATTAGGAGCTGAGGAAATTCCTTTCTCTGCCCCCCATACTCAATTCCCCAAAGCCTCTAAAAACAGTTAAGAATATAATTTCAATTAAAATTGCAGAACAACTCCTGTTCCCTTTATCTGAGGACTAAAGTACACGGACTTAAAAATAATTAAAAATAAAACAGTAAGACTTTAAATTGTTTTTAAGACTAGTTATAAAAAGGCTGCTGAATATTTTATAGCAAGTTTTACATTAAACTTGAGAGTATTACTGTAAGCAAACCATAAAATGTCTTTTAAACAAGCTTAAAATATTTATATATATCCAATTATATTTTTTAATGCTAAAAATACTCACTAATAACAGCACTGAGAGTTTTTCATTCAAAATCCAGCATCCCATCCTGAGTGCCTCTCCCTATGCTAGCAGCAGCTGACTGTTGCCTTCCAGTGTAACCTGAGTTCTCTGTCCATTCCTCAGGCTTTTCTACTAACTCCTTTTGTCTTTAGATTTTAATAAGCACCTAGTGGGAGCAGGAGCTCTGTCTAGGAATTTTCTAATTAAGGGCTCCCTGACAAGAACAGATCACCCAAGTGACATGTCTCATGACCTGTGTAAATAAAATGCTGGTCATTGCCCAGTCCTTTCTCTCTCCAGAGTTATTTCTCAGCAAATGAGAGATGCTGTCATTAAATTGTCCTCTTGTATTAGCATGTATTTGGGTGGGGTTTTTTTGAGTTGTCTTTGCAGTTTGAAGAAGAGTTCAACATTTCCTCATTATTTGTTTTTTTAATTTAGTAGCAAATGGGAGCATCCCTTACGTATGCATAAGACAGGAGCATTACTTAAAGGTCTTGGGAGGGGTAGTCACTCACTCAGAAGTCGGGAACTGTCAGAATAAAGGCTGCCCTTGCAACATTCATCTGGATTTATTGTGAATATAGATTACGGCAATGTTGAAATGCATGATAGTTATTCATTCATTTGGCTGCAGTCATAAAATAAGCAGTTGTTTTCTCTTTCTTCTATTTACTTTGTTTGGTGCAAGGACACAAATCCTACTTCCTTCTCTCTCTGCTAGGAGGGGAGAAGTAAAAATTGGTGTTCTCCTGGGCTTCTCTGTTCTCTTCAAACACCCATGACCTGCGAGATGAGGAGAGGATGCCTATTCCAGAGGCCTGAGCACAGAGGAGTTGGGAAAAAACGTGTCCCTTCCTTGTGTATGTGGCTTGAGCAGCCTGGCAGGTGCTCTGGCTCCCGATGTATTCCAGACCCTGCTCCCACATTTTGTCTGCAAAGTGACATTACTTTGGCAGGACTTAAGGTACTCAGGAAATACCGCCTCTTCCAAATACAGCCCACAAACACTGTCCTAGGATAGAGATTATGCCTTTTTTTTTTTTCTTTTTTCTTTTTTCAGAATTTGTTTTTATTTATAAAACCAGATGTTCCTGTTCCTCCAGGTTTGTACTGATGACTGTTCAGCCTGCTTCCTTCTCCTTGGAGATTAACTCCTGCAAGGATCTAATGAGCCACCTGCAAAAATGAGTCAGCAGGATTCGGTACCTCTCGGCAAGATCAAAACCTTTTGACAGGTCAGTGTAATAGAGAATGCTGTTAGTCTGTTCAAGACTTTTCTTTAGTAGGTGGTTATTAAAGAAGCCAACACCATGATTATATTCAACAAGAAGATCACATTTTCTGATTTACTAAGAGAGAAGAATAATTTATTCACTTTTCTACACTTCTCCAGAGGGAAATCCCTTCCCCTTGGCCTCCCGTAACATCATGGAACTGGCAACAATATGAGTAAGGAAGAGATTGCTTTGAAACGTGGTCAACTCCACTACAGGAAGGTCCCCCTGGACATCTAGGTTTTAGCTCCTCTTTTGTCTTGTCCTGGTAAGCACTCTGCATTTACCCCTGGCTCCCCTTGCCAAAAGCTCTGCAAACTCTGCCTGTAGTAATCTTGCTCTTTCCACAGCAAAACCATTTCTTAAGGCCTTCCTAACTGGGCTGCAAGGGAGACCTTTCTGTGATGAAATAGCTTAGAATTTCTTAAAGTTGACATGCTATTAAGCTCAGCTACTTTTTAAACCAGTGCTAATGACCATTAATATGAGTTAGCAGAAACGGAAATGTGGTTACGAATGCTCTGAATACAAGCATTTACGAGGGATTTATTTTGAGCTTTACTTTTCTTGGATGGTAAAATTAAGCATTATTTATTAACAAACCTTATGACAGGCAGGAATTGGCCACTGTCCATTATGTGACTTGATACAGGCTATTCCCACAACCACCCTCTTTATAGTCACTTTGGTAATGCAGGAGCTAACAAGACAGTGAGTATTGCTGTGTTTTTCAGAGAGGTCATAAGAAGAAGAAATAAGGGAGAAGAGAAGAAGAATGTACAGAGGGTGAGAAGAAATACTGGTAAGGTCAGATGCCAATTTTAACTACTTAAAAAAAAGGGGAGGGGGGAGAAAACTCACTATCTGGATTAGCTGCACTTCAAAGGAAAATGCTGCACTGCGATGTTCTGCTTTGAAGTTCAGCCGATCCAGACAGCAATTTTCTAAAATGAGTCAAAACTGGCATCTGAAATAGATTTTTTTTCAGAGTACAGCAGATTCATATGCTGGTTTAGGCTCCAAAATTTGTCTGGATCAGCAGCTGTACTTCAAAGCAGCACATCTCAGTATAGCATTTGACTTTGAAGTGCATGTGGTCCAGATGCCAGCCCTCTTAAAGGAGCCGATGAATCAACTGCACTCTATTTTTTGTCTGTTGAAACAGCTATGTTTTTTCTCATATATAACGGTAATGTGTGTGGTCTCCAGTATGGTATCTATCAATAAAAACATAAAGCTAACACAAAAGCTCTTTATTGCTTCATTTTCTACAAAGGAACTGGTCATCATTATTTTATTATACTGATTTGCAGTGATCTCAGCCAATTTCTAGCACAAACTATTCAGACAAGACTCAGGAAAGGACATTTTATTGATTAAAGAGCTAACTGTATTCCTTTTTGTTATTGTTTTATCATTATCATGGGCTGCAACTGCCCTAAAAAGGATATAGAAAAAGGATGAAAAGGGATTTGTTCTGGCAGTTTGGGAAAAAGCAGCGATGGGCATGTGCTGAGTTCCCGTGCATGAGACAGGCAACTCTGTCATTAGCTTAAAAGGTCAGTTTTTGCATGGAAAGAGGTTTATGAGGTGCTGAATTCTTCCATGTAAGTATCTCAGCATTAATGTCAATGTTTATATCAATTACTGCTACAGATCTCAATCGCAGTTATTTCTATTCAATTTGACAGCAACCTCTATCTGAGGTTGTTAGTAATTTTTTTAAAGTACTTTCAGCAGTGCTTACCCTTTACAAGACAAATTAATTATTAGCATGAGACTGTATACATATACCTAAATATATTTCATTTTGCTAGGCTATCCTAATTTTACTATTAGGTATGCATGCCTTGTTTCTCAAAGGCAAAATCATCTCATTTGACTCTGAACCCTGCCCTGACCCTCTCATAGTTCTTCTGTGTGCTTGACTTTATGTCAGTGAGTAACCTGGATGAACTTGATAAGCCTCACTATGCTACAGATAGAGATGGATATAGGTAAACATGTGATCCAGAGGATCAGGGTGCTTTAATTGTGCAGACCATCTGACAGCCATTTAATTGCTGACTATATCAGAGTGTACACTGTGTGTTAGACTGCACAAAATGGTGGCGCTGCTGTTTTCCCTCATTTTTACATTATTTCTACATAATGTTTCCCAATAATGTTTAAGAAATGAGAGGCAGATTTGCCTCTGTGAAATGAAGAAGCTGAACAATATATTTGATAAACCACTCAACTTTGGTGGAGAGAAGCTGCTGAAGCTGCTAGAGTGCAAACCTTTTCCTATTTTTCTCTTTTTTTTCTTTTAAAAGACAATTCTGAAGGAAAAGAGGCCAAGGTTCAGCTTTAGTTTCCTTCAATGCTCTGAGTCTAGCTTTGTAAAAGAAACTTATTGAATTTCTATAAACAGTGGCAGAGGGACTAGTAGCAGAAAAACAGGGATATAATTTTTAGAGATTTTCTTATACTGTTTTTTTTAATTTAACTACCTCGTTAATGTTAATGGATTATTATTTTTTTTATGAACTGTACTAGCATTATGGACGGGGGAACTGTTTTGCAATTTGAGAACATTCAAAAAATCCCTAAAGCTCTAAAAGACAAATGTAATATTAACCTTGTCAGTGCCAAAGGTTCAAGAAGCATCAGATTGTTCTAAAATTTATGTCTTTTTTTTAAAACAAAGTGTGCAGTTTGGGGAGGAGTGCTGACTGAGTACTGAGACTTCAAGGGCATCTGGCTTCTCATTTACAGCTTTTTTTCAGTAACAATATGTTTATTTTTTAATAAAATATTAAAAATCTTGGTCCCAGAAGTGAGCTTGAACAACAAGAATCATGCAGTTATCAACACACTTGTGATGCAGCTGACAGAATTAACAATGGTTAATATAAGTATTAACATAAGTATCGACTTATTCTCCTCTGTTTATTGTCAGTTGCCTATATCAGGGCTCCAAGACCTTCTAATTTCTTGAACTTGGGTTTTTTTGGACAACAAATGAAATATATTCACGGTTTTATGCATGTACTTTGTCCAAAAACCTAGCCATTGTTCACAAGGTGCAAAACAGAGAGAAAGACTTCTGTCTCTATCCAGAAAAGCAGAATAACATTTCAGAACCCATTTAAAAAGAAGAAAAATCTTTTGGTTGTATCTCCAGCTCCTCTTGAGCTCCACAAACCAGTGCAATAAAATGGACATAGTGCAATAAACAAGTTCCTTTCCCTGTGTTAGCAGAACTGATCCTGGTGAAGTCAAAAGAGCAGAAAAATGAAGGGTCTGGGACCAAAATCAAAAGTCACATTGGAGCCTTAAAGGGAGATTGTCACTGGCCAGTGTGGGAACAACTGTTGCTTCTGCCCGAAGCAGGGCTCAGCACCCTGTTTGCAGAGGGCAACACCAGTTCTAATTCTTTCCACAAGCCAGTAAAAAGGTTTATCAACGAGAAACCTAATAGTTCTAGCTTGGGAGATAATCAGTTCCCAGCCAAATGATATTAATATTTGAATCGAAATCTTTTCTCTCCCAAGGGACTCCTTTATTACCATGTTCACACTGTAATCAAAATATATTCAGCAGCAATTTCAGACATTCAAAAGCTATTTGTTTCAGTAAGTGCCAAAGTCTCCCAGCTCTTGACTGTGCACCTCCAGAAATAGAGTATCCTACCTTCCTAATTACGTGTGCAAAATGCTGGTTTTTCCCACCCGAGCTGTTTTTCAGCTTAATAAAACAAAATAACCCCTCAAAGCAGCTGAAATCTTGTACAAATAGATGTGTCCACGGGTTACTCAGACGGATTTTCCTTTTAGCTGTTCTGTAGGTAGCAAGCCATGGAAAACAGCTTAAAGATAA